GGTACTTTTCAACATCTGGTATATACGTAGATAACTCTATGCATCTGCAGTATAACGATCAAATGCACACGTATTTTATTCAATAAATATTTAATTTTCAACATAATCTCCTTCCTTGCCACTGCGCTTTATTCAAATCTTCTCCGTGAATCTCATAAACTAGGCATTATGCCATGAAAATTTCAGATCAAATTTTATCAAAATATATTGACAATTCATTAAAAAAGACAAAACTAAAAATAAAGTAGACATTTGAAAATACTTCCTTACTGGGTTTTACATACAAACATAAATCCCTTTCCTTGGTGCTCTAATAATAAAAAATCAGTATATTATTTCTTCATCATATAAAAACACTCACTATTATTAGATAGAGAACCAAATTATATATATATATATATATATATATATATATATATATATATATATATATATATATATATATAAAAAAGGAAGAACAGTATGATTTAAATCCGGTGTTCTTAGCAGTTATTTGTATTTTTAAAAAAACGGTTCTCGATACATACATTAGAGCAAAATATTAGAATTATTTTCTTTGTAAAAAATACTTAATTTATAAACGCAGACAATATTGATAAATTAAGTAAATTTCTTTGAAAATTTATCTTATCATTGCCTGACAATGGAAAGAGACTATGGACTATGGAAGTTTAATTTTTATAATTAAATTTATAAATTTAGTTTCAGTTTTGAAACATGGAAATTTTCTGTGTAGCGATGGAATCATAATTTTAAAAGAAAATAATTATAAATATATAATTAAATAATTTAATATATATATATATATATATATATATATATATATATATATATATATATATATATATATATATGTGGTTGGATAGATGTGAGTTTGTGACCCTGGGTTTCACGCTTTGGCGATCGTCAGACAATCTATCCAACCAAATATGTTAGCTCTATCTCTGATATTGAGCGCTTTCTAATAAGTATTTTATAATATATAAATAATTATACATATATATATTTATTTATATTTATATACACTTTTTTCATATATATATATATATATATATATATATATATATATAGATAGATAGATAGATAGATAGATAGATAGGATTAATGAAAATATAAAATTTGTCACTAAGCTGATTGATGTTACCTTCTGCTGCCCTACTCCAGAGTTTCGTAGACGGACTCACTAGCAATTCTGCCGTCCCTTCGTTAATTTGGGCTGGGGTACAGCCTATGATAACGTCCTGAACCGAATCCGTGATACGAGTTCCAGCATCTCTACTACATCTCAATTTTCATATAAAATACAAATTTTATTGTAACTTAATTATGTGCAATAATGGATTATATGCAATATAGGTGAACAATTCAACTAGAAAAATGAAAAATAAGTACAATGTATCTAAATACAAATTAGAGACATGGCATAATAGATCCTTCCATCTTAAATACATCAACAATGTTTTCCGGCAATTCGTAACATCAACTGGAGATGTCTCTTGTTAAAAATTTGAATAATTTTAGCACATTCGGTAATACGGATAAAAAAATAGGGAATTTTCATTTCTTTTGTTTTTTGTTTTGTTTTGGGTTTTTTTTTTGTTTTTTTTTAGACTTAGCATGAGCAAAACAAATTCACAGATTCATACAAAAAATACCCCAGAATAACGTCAAAATCCGTGGTAAATTGTCATTCTTTAATAATCAGATGTGCTTAGATTAATTTATAATTATATATAAACGTAGGTAGCAAAAAACAAATGCTTCCTAGATAGATAGATAGATAGATAGATAGATAGATAGATAGATAGATAGATAGATAGATTTAAACAAATTCGTATAGATAGATAGATAGATAGATAGATAGATAGATAGATAGATTTAAACGGACTAGTATAGATAACTAGATAGATTTAAACAGACTATTATAGATAGCTAGATAGATTTAAACAGGCAGATAGCTAGATAGAAATAGACGGTGTGTAGACAGAGGAATCAATGCTACATTGTTACAGTTAGTTTCATGTCACAAGCGATCTTCAGACTTTTCCATACTTTTTGTATCTATATATTAAATAGTATATACATATATATATGTGTGTGTGTGTGTGTGTGTGTGAAAGTGTGTCTGTGTGTGTTTCTGTGTGTTTGTGGAAAGAAAGAAAGATAGAAAATTAATGGACGAATAAAAGGTGTAGATTAACAGTAAACAGTAAAGAAAAAAAAAATCACGGAAGGTGCTATCGAACTATTTGAAGAATTTGATCAGACTGGTAAAACAATCTGTTCATCTGCGAAGTTATAAACCGTTTCTGGTATCTCTCTCGTCATTGTTCCCACAATTCTCCAAAGGCACTCCTCCAAGAAATAAAACACTTGATTTTCTATCATTTGTATTTTATTTTATTTTTATTTTTATTTTATTTTACTCTATTTCTTTTAACTTTGAGAGTAATATTTCTCATCTTATAATCACCCGAATACAGATAAAAAAAAATAGATG